TGTAACACATGCCAACCAGAAACACATATGTTTTAAATTAAAAACTAATAAATATCAAGTCGACGTCCACTTCATTGCCACTCAACTAAAGTAAATTCGTTTTTAGTATGAACGTACGACAGCTACTGCCAATTAGGTAGTTTTGTTTTCTGGAAACTTTTATAGAGTTCTCTTATACGGCCTACTCTTCGTCGGCGTGTTCCAGCACGGCAAGGTGGAGATTATTGCCAACAGGCAGGGCAATCGAACCACGCCATCTTATGTCGGTAAGTTTTTCCGGTGATCTAAGCTGAGCTTACTTTTCCTTTATTATGCAATGTCTCATGAATGCTTTTTTCATTTCTATCTTTTTAGCTTTCACCGTCACCGGGCGCCTGATCAGCAATGCCGCCAAGAACCAGGTGACGATGAACCCAACGAACACCGCCTAAGAGCCTCATCGGGCGTCGATTCGATGACCCTAATGTGCAAGCCGACATGAAAAGTTTGTTCTTTAACGTGATTAAGTGGCCAGCCCAAGATCGAGGTATGTGCTTTTGAGTTTGTGTACCACGACTAGTGCAACTTTTACTGACTCAACTTTACATTTTAGTTAGAGCACAAGGGCGTGGCTTTACGTTTCGCTTCGGAAAAGATTTTTTCAATGGTCCTGGCAAAGATAAAAGAGACTGCCGAAGCGTACCGATCATATCGATGTGGTTGCAGTTTTGTTCCGAACACTAAAGTCCTTGCTGATGGCGGCCCATTCATCGGAAGGCCAAATTATCAAGATTAAACTGTTCTACATGATATTCTTAACAATTCTTATTGAGTACTTGTTTTATGAACATCATAACCACTCCGAAATGAAAGTTCCAAAAAGCAGTAAAAAAAGTGCGACGCAGTCTCCCTTAATTTATTCACACAATCAAACGATAAACGGGTTCCAGTATTTCATTGATGCACCAACAGGTGGATCTAGTGGCCGTTCGATGGTGCTAGACTATCGATTGTTAAAAGCCGCCAAAAGGCTAAATTGGCGGCAAAAGGAAAACTTTTCTGCAGCAGTCTGTTTTTGTGTTGTTGCTTTGCGGACCTTTAATTTTCATCTCTTGCCACCGACTTCTTTCAACTTTTATTTCAAGTTACCTCGCCCACCTGCTTAAAATGACGTCACCGCGGAAGCTTCGAACACCCACANTTGTGTTGTTGCTTTGCGGACCTTTAATTTTCATCTCTTGCCACCGACTTTTTTCAACTTTTATCTCAAGTTACCTCGCCCACCTGCTTAAAATGACGTCACCACGGAAGTNCTTTGCGGACCTTTAATTTTCATCTCTTGCCACCGACTTCTTTCAACTTTTATTTCAAGTTACCTCGCCCACCTGCTTAAAATGACGTCACCGCGGAAGCTTCGAACACCCACAAAAGAGGCCGGAACGCCGAGCAAGCTGGTTGCTTCGCAGTCGCTGACAAAAAGGACGCCGCGCTCAAAGGCGGTGCCTTCGCCGTACGCAAAGGCAAAGAAACTACTCTCGGTGTCGGCGGGTGAAACTCTGGTTGGCCGTGATGTTGAGAAGAAGCGAATCACAACTCTGGTTCAGGGAGCCCTTGAAGAGGGCAAGTCGCTCATATTGTACGTTTACGGGGCGGCAGGCACGGGCAAAACGCTCACCGTCAACACTGTGATTCAAAGTCTTGAGCTTACATGTGACTTCAAGCTGATTAATGTGAACTGCATGTCAATTGAAACGGTGAGCAACTTTTACCGACAAGTCGCCGAACAGTATCCCTCCAGTCCAAAGAAGCAAAAGCGAAATACCCGAAAAAACAGTTCATCAGATGAGGATGATTCATCGAACGACTTGACCCGTATCAAAGATGCTATTTTGCAGCACAACAATATGACCGTTATGATTCTCGATGAGATCGACCAACTCAAGTCAAAGCAAAACGAGGTTCTGCGGAACATTTTTCAACTACCAGAACTGACAAAAAATAAGCTGATTCTTATTGGCATTTCCAATGCACTCAACTTTACCACTGCAAATGTGTGGATTAAAGAACTGGACAAATCTGCCTTTTACGAGATGCGATTTATGCCGTACAACAAGGAGCAGATTGCCCAGATTATAGACAGTCGCCTGAAGAGCGGTAATGACGAGAACACTCTCATTGATCAGGCGGCAATCAACTTTTGCGCCATGAAAATTTCCTCGCTCAGTGGTGATATTCGAAAGGCCCTAGACGTCTGTCGACAGGCGGTGGATATGATTGAAACACGATCTCGGCGAAATACCGTCAAGGCGCTGGACTTTGATGCAGTGCTCAAACCAAAGTCAGCAATGAACTGTGCCACCAAAACACAGGATGACGCCTTCAAGCACGTCAACGTCTCCGTGATGATGTCTTCCATCAACAAAGTTTACGGCGGCATCAACGACAAACTGGACAAGGACCGTGTGGTTCACCTGCCAATTGACCAACAGCTCATTCTTTGCACACTGCTGCTTCTCGGCAAGTACAAGTCAATGCGCGAAGTGAAGCTCTCTGAACTTCGACAGTACTTGGGCAAAATCTGCATTAAACGATGTCTGTCCACTGAAGGCAAGTCGGAGCAGGACATTCTCGCAATGTGCCAACTACTCTCTGACTCTGGCTACGTTTCAATCAAAAATGAATCTCCTCTTCTCGGTGGCGGTCGTAGTCCCGGAAAGATGAGTCCTCGAAATGTGTTTTCTTCACCTTCTGCTTCAAAAAAGCGTTCGGTGACGCTGGCACTGCGACTTGATCCAACTGAAACAGAGCAACTGCTGAACAAGCTCGTTTTGGGCATTCTCTCAGAAGGATCGACTATGATTTGCTGAGAACATCGTATCTTTTTCATTTTTTTTCACATTTACCGGTCATTCTACCATTCTACACATTACGATTTTAGATTTTTTTAGATAACTGCTAATTAGTCATTTTAACAATTAATCATGTACAAGCATTTCTCATTTTCATTTTGATAAAACAATAAATCGGCGGTACTGAAAACGAGCATTGTTTGTACTGTAGTATACGGCAGGGCAGCGGCACTTTTCAGCCTCACATGTGGACTTTTGTTTTGCGTTTGTCTCATCATAAAGCAAAACTGCCATTCCATATTCTTGTTTGGGAACACAAATTATTCCTTCTTATCACCTTGAAATGTCTGCTGAAGTTGAAGTGGCCAAACTATCAAAGTCGGTGAGTGAATCCTCCGACGATTCTGCGGCCTTTGTGGCCCTGCCGCAGAAGCGAAACTACCGACAGCGGGCGCACTCCAACCCAATAGCCGACCACTGCATGGACTACCCGATAACGCCGGACTTGATCGATTGGAGCATCTTCTACCCCGACTACAAAGCAGAGACCAGCAATGGCGTCGAGTTTCTCGATATTGGCTGCGGATACGGTGGACTGCTGGTGGAGCTCTCGCCACTCTTTCCGCAAACACTGATGCTCGGTAAGACGCACTTTGAGGAAAAAGTAACAAGATTCTAATTATTTCTCAATGCATAGGAATGGAGATTCGCGTAAAGGTGTCCGACTACGTGATGGACCGAGTAAAGGCTCTGCGCGTCCAGCACGAAGGACAGTATCGAAATATCAACTGCATTCGCAGCAACGCCATGAAGTACCTGCCCAACTTTTTCCGAAAAGGCCAACTGAGCAAGATATTCTTCCTCTTTCCTGATCCACACTTCAAGAAGCAAAAGCACAAGTGGCGAATCATCTCAAGCACGCTACTGTCAGAGTATGCCTACTTCCTCCGAGTGGGTGGTCACGTTTACGTGGCCTCCGATGTGAAGGAGCTGTACGAGTGGATGTGTAAGCACCTGCAGGAGCATCCGCTCTTTGAGCAGTTGCCCGAATCCGAAGTGAAACTCGACCCAGTCGTGGCCAAGTTTCCTCTCACCGAGGAAGGGAAGAAGGTGACCCGAAACGGCGGTGATATGTGGAACGCCGTCTTTCGACGCATTGAGGATCCCTTTGTGAGAGAGCAGTGAGCTCTTTGTGATGGTATCATATGTAAATAAACGTTCATGCACCCAAAACAATGTACGCGAAAGGTGTTTGATTCAGTGAGAATACAATTTATTGATGAAAAAGTGGTCACATCACTTCTCCTCGGGCTTGTTGTAGACGAGGGTCAGGTTGCACCGGCCACAGTAGTGACGGTCAAAGTGATTTGCCATGAAGACGCCGGCGCCGCACTCCTTGTTCTCACACTCGCGTCGGAGTCGGGTGATTTTGCCGTTGTCGTCCACCTTGTAGAACTTAAGCACCGACAGCTTAACCTTCTTCTTCTTGTGCTTGTTCTTCTTGGGGGTGGTGTAGTTCTTCTTCTTGCGCTTCTTGGCACCACCACGGAGTCGGAGGACCAAGTGGAGGGTCGACTCCTTCTGGATATTGTAGTCCGAAAGGGTGCGGCCGTCCTCGAGCTGTTTACCGGCGAAGATGAGACGCTGCTGGTCGGGAGGGATGCCCTCCTTGTCCTGGATCTTTGCCTTCACATTCTCGATCGTATCAGAGGGCTCGACCTCGAGGGTGATGGTCTTGCCCGTGAGGGTCTTCACAAAGATTTGCATGTTTGCAGTTCACCAGAGTTTGGTGGCGGTGTCCTGGTGGGTGGGGCGGATGAAGGTTGGATTAGTACAGAAAGGACCGAAGTTGGGAAAACAGAAAATAAAAAATGACACTCACCTCAAGCAACGCGCTAGGCGGAAGAAGTAGAAAGGAAAGAGCGAGCGCGTGGAAAGCGGTAATGCAGGTAGCCGCCGCTAGCTGCGCCTCGATCGAGGCTGTACTTAAATTCGAGGTTCATTCATAGAAGACGCGACGGCTAAATTCATTACCTGGCACCTAGGCCGAAATTGACTTTTCTGATTCTGCACC